TACTTCTGTCTCAATTCAAAGGAGTCCCTCATTTTCAGTGTCTTGTTCCTTATAATGGTTCCACTTGTCAGTTGGTGCCACAGGGTGGGACAACCTTAACTAGCACATGCTAGTGTTGTTCCATCTGGTTATTTTTATCAGAGTTTGCTCACCACCACCACCACCAAAGAGCTGAATTACTTCCAGAATGCCAGTCTGCTAATCCCAAGATTGTCTTCCATTTTTTGGCTGATTATCCAGCTTCTCCTCTATGTTCTCATATGCCAAATTGTTTTATACTGTTAAGGTATATGCTCTCTTCGAAAAATACTCGAGAAAGAAGAAAAGAGCAAAGTTGCTCTGTCATTTTAGATGGTGGTGTTCATATTATCTGGAGATATCTGATGCACAGCTGAGGGGTGTGCTGTACCATATCTCACTGCTTAGAGATAGGAATTCTTTCCTTCAAGTCCAACGTTTTGTAGTAAACCCTTTGGAGAAAATAAAGAAGGCTAAATCTAATTTTAAACCCAACTAGAATAGTATTCCTAGTGTGATGTAGTGGAAAGAGTGATGGACAAGGTTCTAGAGAACAAGGTTCAAATCCCCGCTCAGTCATGGAAAATAAGTGGAGGAGATGAACTGGTAAAACCACTCCATAAATATCTAACTTACCTTGAAAGCCCTGTTAGGGTTCCAACTTGACAGTACATAATAACAAGAACAACAGAATAGTATTGTTGAAACCAACGGAACATATTAACTGTCGTAATGTAAATCCATTTATTTCAGAGGGACTAGTCCAGTTGGAACTAAATTTGGATTTAGTTCAAAGTTTTAGTTCAGAGGTGGATAAGAAGTGTCCCTTCACAAGCTGTTGACTATATCCCCCACTGTGCTTCAGGACAGACCAACAGCATCTGGAGGACCACAAGTTGTCCATTCGCAATTCATCTGGAAATGACAAATTTGTCCCACATAATTGTCCAATATTTCTCTCAATGAATGTGCCAGCATGTTTAACAGAAGTGCTGATGAAACACAGACTGTGGTATCATTTATTGTGACTGCCTGGAAGAAGAAAGGGAGAGCTGATTTTTTTTCAGATATTCTGAAAAATCTGTGGCTTTCCCTTGGAGACTCAGTGACCTGTCAGAAACATCTTGCCTCTGAAGAAGTCTAGTGACAGATTTGAAGACCAGTGCATATGATGTTAATTGGAGCATAGGATCCAAGAGATTTCATGTTGCTCCTCTGGATCCTCTCCACAGTGTATTTGCTGCCCATTTATTGTGATCCCCTAACGATTGCTTTTAGAGGCTTTAAAGTGTTCTTGTAACTAGTATCCTCACATGAGAAAGAGAGGAAAGCTTGGTGTTTTTGGTTTTTGTTTGTTTGTGGGTTTTTTTGTTTTGTTTTGTTTCCTGCCACAATATGGCTGCATTCATGATTGGGTTTCTTTGTGGTGAAAGGGAGATCTGGCTGCTAGCAGAGTAACAGAAAAGAATGCACAGTATTGACTCAGTTCTCCGAATATGTATGACCGCTTGCATAAAACTGAACTTTTAGCTTGACATCTTTCAACAGCTATCATTAAAAATAACCATGATGATGGAGGAACTGAAATTAAATTTAAAATTGCATTCGTTTTAAATTTAATTTCAGCTAAAACAAGTGGCAGTTAAAGTCATTCAAACATAGGATAGTTCTATTTAAGTTCTCTGTACTATAATACAATTTGAAGTCAGCTCTGTAATCGGCCAAACTGCATGTCAGCAATTTGTATAATGATGGTAAGCTTCAATCATACATTTAATATGATTTTACATTTATTTATTTATATTATTCATATGCTGCCTTTCTCCCCATAGGGGACCCAAGGTGGCTCACAACAGCTTAAACTATACAACAATCAACAGTTTTAAAGTACCATATAAATACAATATTAGAAGCAATTAAACATACTATATCAAGATTAAAAACAATTTTCTCTAAGTTTAATAAACAAAGCTTTCCTGAGACGCTTATTGCTTAAAAGCCTGCCTGAAAAGCCAAGTCTTTACCTGATGTCGGAAGAACAATAGAGAGGGGGCCAACCTGGATTTTTGGGGCAGTGCATTCTGAAGCCTGAGAGCAGCCACTGAGAAGACAGTTTCTTGTGCTTGGGAAGATGGTGGAAGTGTGATAAGGGCCTCCCCAGAAGATCTTAAAAGCCAAGAAAGATTACATGGGGTGATACAATCCTCCAAATAGGCTGTACCCAAGTCCTGTAACCAGGACTTTAAATTGGACCTGGAAGCAGAATGGCACCTAGTAAAGCTGTAATAAGAGGTTTATATGCTCCCTGTAACCAATCCCAGTCAGCATTCTGGCTGCATCATTTTGAACCAGCTGATGTTTCGGAAAACTCTTCAAAGGCAGCCCTGCCTAGAGCACATTGCAGTAGTCCAAATAGGATGTAACTGTGCCCAGATAGATATCTCAAGGAATAGGCACAGCTGGTTGTTAGTTAGGCATCCTTCAGTCTTGAGAGACTATGGTAACATGCTCTGAATAGAGGTCTTGGAACAGCATCTAGTGTGGCTGAGAGTGACAATCCCTTCCACACTGAAGACAAATACAATCTGTCTTCTGTCCAGCTCCCTGGTATACCAGCGCAGCTGGTACACCAGTGTTAACTGTGCAATTTTATAATTGTATTCCTAGCCACTGCTGAAACCTCTATATCCATGCTCAGGGTGTAATCCAGGAGACAACCAAGGTGTGAATCTGACTTTTCAGGGGGGATGTACTGTAAGACCATCCAATACATGCTGAACCCCTATCCTCTGATTTGCCTTTTGACTGACCAGGAATACATCTGTTTTGTCTGGGTTAAGTTTCAGTTTGTTAGCCTTCATTCATTCCATTACTGACAGCAGACAAGAGTTTAGGCACAGAACTGCTTCCTTTTAATCTGATAGAAAGGAGAGAAAGAGTTGGGCATCATCAGCATACTGATGGCACCAAACCTGAAAACTCCAGACAACGTCTCCCAACAGTTTCATGTAGAGTTGAATAATATGGGGGACAGGACCAAACCCGGAGGGACACCACAGATCAGTGGCCAAGGTGTCAAACATGATTCCCCCTCAACACCGCCTTCTGAGTTAAACCATCCAGTAAGGGTCAGAAGTACTGTAAACCTGTACCTACAAGACCCATCCCAGAGCCACTGAGAGGTCTAGCAGAACCAACAGGGACACACTTCCCCTGTCTATATCCTAGTGTAGGCCATCCACCAAGGCGGCCTAAGCCATCTCTATCCATAACAAAGCCTCAAGCCTGACCGAAATGGATCTAAATAATTTGCTTCATCCAGAACTTCTACTGCTGATCAAACCACATTTCCTCCACTGTATACATTAATAGACATATTGAGATTAATTAAGTACTTTTAAAGTTTAAAATTACTTAAATTAAAAATTAATAAATTTACTTAAGTGCATTCTCATTACTAGGCAAAGTGTGAATCTATCAACTAGAATACCAGGTATAGTTTGTGATTGCAAAGCAAAGGTGGATGATTTCCAAAGGCCTAGGACAGGGAAAGCCATCCCTGGATCCTGCAGGGCACACCTTGGTCCTGCTTTTCCTTTCCACACTATCTTTTTTACTGAAAATATTTCTTGTGCCCTCTAGTGGCTATTTTTAAAAGAATTAAATTTGGGAGGTTCAAGGGGTCCTTCAAAATGGCAAAATTGCCTTCACAGCCCCTAAAGGGCACTTTCTGATACAAAGATTCCCTCTTCCAAAAAAGTTCATCTCCATCAGCAAGAAGTACGATTGTTGTTGTTCTACCCCATAATTAATTCTTCAATTTGTAATACTCTGCTAGAAAAAAGCAAAATCAATAGCAGAAGAGGTAAAAGAGAGACTCATCAATAAAATTGCTGAATTGTTTAAACCAAAAAAAGTATGACTCAAATTGTTTTAGCACTGTTTGGAAATACCTGCAATGCCTTAAATTTGAACTCTGCACAACTTTGCAATGCCATGCAAGTCATGGGCCAGGGCGTGGACTCACCTCCCTCTCTTACCACCTCCACGCCAGAATTGGAGGTTGTTCATGACTTTGTGTACCTTGGCTCAACAATCTCTAACACTCTCTCCGTAGATGTCAAGCTGGATAAACGCATTGGCAAAGCAGCTACC